GTGAAAATTGCCCAAAAAAGAATGATTATCGAAATTTCAAAAAGGCTTTCCATAAAAACAATCGTAATTATAAAAATTCTTCTACACAGATTTATTGACCAATTTGAGACTCCCAAAAATGTCAACATTTGAATTTGTGACACAACGTGTGTGACGGAAATCTCAATTTTTCGATTTTCATGCTAAAAGTCGAAAAACAATGAAATTTTTTAGTAAAAAGATGACACCATTTGTTTGGATCTACTATTGTGATCAAAAAGTTCCAGAGAACGTGTTGATGATGAAGAGCGATCTGGACGACCATCAACGTCAACTGTTGAAAATCACGTCATGCAAATCAAAGATCTTGTTCTCAAAAATCGTCGATTAACAATTAGAGACCTTGTGGATACTACTGACATTTCATTTGGATCCATTCAAACAGTTTTAAAGGACCATTTGGGTCTCAGACATTGTGCAGCTCGATTGGTTCCGAAAACACTAAATTTCTTCGAAAAAGAGCGTCGTATTAGTGTGTTTGCCAAGAGATGCTTTCTGACTTTGATTCGGTCAAGGACGCATTATCACGGGGGATGAGACTTGGATGTATGCTTATAACCCCGAAACAGCTGACCAGTCGAGTGAATATCGTGCCAAAGGTGAACCAAAACAGAAAAAATCACGCCAAAGTCGCTCAAAAATCAAGGTGTTGTTAACACTTTTCTTCGATTATTGTGGCGTAGTGCACTATGAATTTCTTCCAACCGGCCAAACTGATAACAAGCAATATTATTTGGATGTTATGCGTCGTTTGCGTAATGCTATTGGCCAAAAGCGGCCGGATTTATGGGCAGACAACTCTTGGTTTTTGCATCACTATAATGCATCGGTTCACACTGCATTGGTTATTCGAGATCATTTCAACAAAAATTTAATTCATATCGTTCCACAGCCACCGTATTCGCCTGATTCAACACCGTGTGACTTCAAGCTATTCTCTCGGCTCAAAAGACCGCTTCGTGGACATCGTTTTGAGACGATAGAAGAGATTAAACAAAAAGTTCTGCATGCATTAAATGCCATACCAAAAAGTGAGTTTTCACGCTGCATCGAAGACTGGAAAAAACGTTGGCGTATGTGCATTGCAGCCGGGAGGGATTACTTTGAAGGCGAAGAAATCGATTTGGAAGAATAAATAAAGATTTTTCATTTTATTTAAAAATTACCGGAACTTTTTGATCACAATAGTACGTATTCGATTTGCTAAATTTCATTCAACTTCGACTTTTAGTGTGAAAATCGAAAAATTGACATTTCTGTCCCAAGGAGTGTGTCACAAATTCAAATAATTACATTTTTGAGCAGACAACATATTGAACTAACTGGTCAGTTGAGCTGACGGTACGTTAGCTATGTTAGCTAAAGGGGCTAAAACAATGGACGTTATTGTTTTAATGATGAATCACTTTTCTTGTTTTAATAGAAGTTGTTCATTATAACAATAACTTCTATTGTTTTAGTCTATTTAGCTGGCTAACGTACTGTCAGTTTAACTGACCAGTTAGTTCAAAACAACTTTTCGAAATTTCGATAATCACTCTTTTTTCGGCAATTTTCACTTTTTTGTTCAAAAAATCTCCGCCAGATGTCTTTTATAGACTTTTTGATGAATAGGCTTTTTCAAATTTAGGCCTGTAACTTTTTTCTGGTGAGTCACAAATTCTAAAAATTGCGTCACAAATTGTCACTAATTAATCACTAAAATTCTGTGAAGTTTGAGCCCAATCTGGTACTTTGACCCCCTGGGTAGTGTACGCCTCATCTCTAGTTTTTTGAAATGCAATTTTTAAAGAATAAATCATAGCTAGAACGCCCAGTTGACCTTCTGTACTGAATATGATTTCGATTGATTCTCCCTTGTTGAGTGATCGTCAGACGCTAGTATTGTGTCATCGCATATAATTATTTACTTCTATAATAAGATCATAAGTTATGTTAAATGAATATGAGATGAGATCGTTCGTTTGATTTTATAATCTTTTTAACACTCATGTGTTCAAGATACATATATCTAGTAGCTAGGAATCATAGTATTATTATTTCTGATGTTATCACGTCGTAGTAAATAGAATTTATAAATGAAAGAATTTAGTCAGTTAGATTGTCAGTTTTAAAATAAATCTCAAAGAACAAACAGCGTTTGTACCCATTTATCGACAATATTCTTTCCGCAGAATTACCACTACTCAATATCTTAATTTGTCATATAAATACAAGCTTGGTATTACATTCTATGGCGGAACAACAAAAATTATTAGGATACACTCAAAAGGCCACTATATGGGTGTTAACTACATACGTATCATATCTGCGATTCAGTGGAAATATATGTATAAGAAACGAATGATAACGTTTTTACGTATGTAGTAGTCGACTATATATAGCCGCCGACCGAGTGTAGCTGTGTAATTGTTGTTGTTCTTTCTTATTAAGAGAGAGAAAACATTAGTTGTATTTGTGATTATTATTTTTCTTACTTTTTTAATTTGGATATTTTACGTAATATTTTGTGTTAATTTCATCCAAGTGAACGCATCGTAGTGAAAGAAGAGATACATGTGTAGTCATATATACGTTGAACACAAGCGGCTATGACTACACGTGTATTTCTTCTTTCACTATGATGCGTTCACTTGGATGAAATTAACACCGAAAATAGAGTGCGTAACTCATTTTGAAAAGTAGACTCTCTGCTAACACCCTAAGTGCAAATAACCGTACTCGAATATTTGTTTCTGTGTACCAAAACGTACAACGAACAATGCCAAAAAGTTAGCCAGCTGTCAAACTCAAATATGAATTTTAATGGGAGTGACAGAAACATCCATATAGATTTGACAAGACTCTCTTATTTCTTTTAAATTATATTCGACTCATCATTTGATCATCATCGGCTTGGTCTAGTTGAGTTGGTGAAGATTTATTACATGAAATTTTGACATAACAGACATTTGTTTTTAGTTTTGTTATATTATGACGTCAGCCGATCAAATTCACACAATCAATAATTAAACGACAACAATAGAATAATTGACTAAAAAAACTAATAAATATCTGAGTTAGTATATCTGAATTGAAAGAAAATGTTACATACAGAGAACACTGTTCATTTTATCCAATTTCGTTCTAAAGATCTTTGAACTCTGTCCTTCCGAACTTTTTAATAAATGAAATGAACTAAATAAGTACATTTGCCTCAATTTGAAATGATACACCTTTTCACATTTCTTTTTTTTCAGTAAATCAATGAATTTTTAAAGTACAATCAATAGACTTGATAATTCGTCGTTAATATTGCTAGAATATATTTAATAATACTATGTGTACACTGTACACTTCTGAAGTTCATTTTTGAATTACTTTAATAAATGCTCAAATTAGTCAATTTTATTTAACTTTAGTTTGTTCGAGCACAAAAATATAGGAGCTACTTTTTTAAATTATCGCCCACGACCGCCACTAACTAAGAAATATATTGACAGTGTAACGTTTCTGCATTTTTTTACAATTTGCACATTCGTTCGATTTTGATCACTGAATTCCATTTTGCATTGATTGCAAACAATAAAAATTTAAGATTGTTTTAGCTTAAGAATTATTTGCATTTTGTTGACACGTTATCATTGGGTAACGGATGTAAGGATCCCACCTATGATTATACTTTTCATTTTTAATAAAGTTTGATCTATAGCACATGAATTTTGGAACTCTTGGAAAAAAGCGCAATAACTAAAAATGTTGAAACAAAAAGTCAATATTTTTTTTCCAAAAAAAAACAAGCAGAAAAATTGTTTATTATTTCAAATACGATTTAAGAGTTTTCGTTCCATTAAGTACGTATCGTGGCATTTATACACTAAACTAATGATTGCACACTAAAAAATACGCATTTATTTAAATGTTAACAATAATTTTTACTGTCATCACTTAATAAGAATTACAAGGCTTTGTGTTATGAATATCAAACACAAGTTGATTTCAACGATAGTATTTCGAAGAATAACAATAACTATTGACAACGATGAAAATACACACAAAAGAGTGAGAACAAAAAACAAGACACGAGAGTTGAACGAAATATAAATGTGAAATGTAATAAAGGCGCGAGAGACCTCGAAAATGTGTTGATTTTACAGTCGAAAATAGTGGAAACATCACAACAATCAACCGCAACCGATTTTATAGACATAGACACACATTTGAGAGCTCAGTCAAATACACGAATTTCTGAAGTCTCTATTTCATTCTCTGTCAATCCAACATCAGTTCTAATAGTGTAGTGAAATCATTCTTAACTTGTTTTACGCATACACATAACAAAGATTCATAGCCAATAATTTAGGTGTGTGCGCTTATTGAATATCCAAACCATACATATACACAAACAAACATCAAAAAGTTTATTATCTTTGGTTCATTGTTTTTGTGTCAATATTTGTGAAGGGGAGAGAGAGAGAGAGAACGAAATAGCTTTCATGATTAAGTGTTGACGAAATTGGGAACTTGTATGTTTTATTTGATTGGCAGCCTTATTAATCGTCTCTTTTCCATGTCAAACGTAAATCTATGCAAATTAAAATTCAATGTAGTAGTGCAGTATTTTCATGAATAAATCAAACGCATTCTTTTTAAGAATTTGTGTTTAAATCTAATTAAACTATTATTCTTATTTTTTTGGAAATTTTTACACACAATTTTGAATAACCAATTAATATACTGTATATTTTTATATAAGAGAAATCTGGAATTACTAACCGTAAAGAAGCGTTCACCTGCCTTTTGAATAGCAAATTGAAATGAATGTATGCAAAAATCTAATCTTTCCAATGTAATACATATAATACCATATAAAGGCATATTATTGGTTAGGTTATTGTTTTTTTGTTTAGTTTGCCCCAAAAATTAAAAGCTAAGTTATACGAATATAAAACAAGATCAGTCATGCCAACAACTTTTTTTCAAAAAAAAAAAAAACTTGATTTTTGCTGCTGCCGAGTTGACCAAAATCATGATAATACTAGGCAACAACCTTGAAAAAAATTAGAAACCGTGTTCAATCATTCTAGTGAATGACAGTTTGATAATTATTGTTTTAAGCGGGTTTTTTAAATGATACTACACACACCTGTATATTCATTACGCTTCCTTCGCAAAAACGATGAAGTGAGTGCATTGTGTCCCTTTAAGTGGTTTATTTTGGAATTGGTATCAGTTTTATCAGTCAAAACACTGCCCAAAGTAGATCTTTTGCGCTTTGGTTTTAATTTTGTCAAAGTTGCTTGGGTATTTGTTGATCGACCACTGCTTATAATTGAAATTACAGATGAATTAACATTTGGAATTTCACTAGCATTTCGTTGATTAATTTGTGCATCGGTCTCTATCGACAATGAAAACCGTTTGCTAGCCTCTTCTTTAGAAATATCATTTGTTACCGGCCCCTCTCGAGTCGAATGTCTACGAGTATATAGCTCAAAGCTGCTGTCGTGGTTGTTATTATCCATAAATGACAAAAAATTACTATTATAAGCGAAATTTAACAGAAAAATTACAGTTTGTTTTAAAAAAATCGTTTGAATATGTTCGAAATTGAAGAACAGATTATAGAAAAATATAGATAATTGAATATCATAAGTCTCTGCTAAAACTGATGCGTTATTCACAGAAGTTATACCAACACTGATTACCGATTTTTAGTGCTTAAATCATATCACTGAATCGACTGTCTTGTGGCCCTTAGAATAGTCTGGTAAATAGCAAGTGCGAAATCGTTCGCGCGCGTCATTTAAGCATACACAATATAGTCATTTTTATGTGACTGCTTTTTTTCTTTTCCAAGAAACGACTACTCTTTGAACATTGCATTTGTGCTGCTCTCTGGCATTTATCTACCGAGTTTTTCATATAAGTTGCTCACAACTGAGGAGTGTGAGTTCAAAAATCTGGTCCGATAGACATTTTATAGTAGTGAGCCACTTATATGTACTGTACAATCTTTTTCTCTTTTTTAACCTCTTTTTCTTTTTTTTGCAATTTCATTTCAAGAGAAAACTTTAAGATACCAGATGGCAGCACGCATGTTATTTTCCAGCTATTTACGTTATATTTTATGGACTGTAAGCGTCTTCTTTGTTATTATGATATTTTTCGATGTGTAAAGAATGAAATGCTTTCAAGAAAAGTGATGTTTGCGATTAATATGAGGGCTGGGTCCGACTTTTTATAATTCGAAGCGAAAATAACGAAAAATATAAAAGGAAATCGTTGGCCATTTGCACAAGCAATATCCTGCTTTTAATAGATAGTTCGCTTTTAGCTATCATTTGCGTGAGGTGAGACTCTTTATTAGCAGAACTTTATGATGAGATTGAAGCAAAAGAACCGATCTACCATATAAACACAACTGGAATTAACTATGTAACCGGGGTTTTATATATATTTTTTCAACACATACGGTTTTTTTAACTTCCACAATTTGTACCCGTAACAGCTTTATACTATGTTAACATTTTTCCTTTTATGAGAGGAATATAATTTAATGAACCGTAAGTTTATTGTAAAATAAATGGTAACCATCAATCATCTAACTAGGGTTTATGCAAAGAAAAGCTTTGAGTCACCAACTCTTCTAAGAAAATTATTTCTGGTTGGCTTTCTTTGAATCATAAATTTCAACAATGTAAGATATACAATTTAGATTAAAAAAAAGTGCAAATTCTGCATACATATATCGTCAGGAGCAATTGTCAATAAAAAATACTGTCATTTGGGTATAAATCATTAAACACTTTTCATTTTAAATTTTTGCAATGTTTAATTGTTCTGATGGAAGAGATGAAAAAACATGAAGAGTTGGTATTGTTAAAACAAAACTGGAGATATTATTAGAAGATTTTTTATGATACATTGACATTTTCTTTTGGAAAATACCTATTCAGGCTCATAAAATTTGGTATACTTATTTTTATTATAGCAAAACCTCCAACTTAAACATATTCGTTTTGTTCTTATCAATGTTATTTTTATATTGCTATAGTAATTTAGCTATAGCCATCTAAAAGTTGGATTCTAAAAATTAACGTACCGGCTCAGAATTAAAAAAAATTCGTGATATTCTCAAGAGGACTGAGATATCTTTCCAATAAGCCAATAATGAAAAATGTCTATTGAGAAACACAGCCGTGATGACCATCCGCAAAAATCAATCAGAACATGAAAAAGTGTCCATATACTTTTCTACTCCTCATGAGCTGAGGAATCTATGGTAGAGATATTTGCAAGGGGAAAAGTATACTAAATACATCTAATACCAGTAATACAATCTAGTGAAAGATCTGATATCCATCTGTGTGAAAGAAAAATAATTTGAAAACAATATTTTTTGTATCACTCTTGCTTACAATTTTAATATTACAAAATATTAATTGAACAAAATAACTGAATCAATGTCATAAAAATATGCCAACGCACAAGATTTTATATATATTTCTTAAACAAACAAAATTTGTTAATTTTGACATGTAAAAATCTAACCTAACTTCGGTCCAATATATTTTTTCATCTTCTGATTTGTGTAGAGAGCTTCTTAGAACACTTTTCAAAAATGTAAAATATATTTATCAAAATAAACAAAAATGTTTGCATTGAATTTTAATTATTTCGGTTTGCATGTGTCTCGTTCCTCTCAGTCAGTGCTTTAAAAATTCCTCATTACTAAATCGTATTACTTGGTATTTGTCGGTATTCTTGTTGTACTAGATCGTATTACTGGTATTAGACGTATTTAGTAATTTCCCCCTTGGATATTTGTACGGAATTATGGGACACCCTGTATATGTAAGTTTTTTTAGAAGTTTTAGATGAAAGTCGATATGGCTAAACACTCTCAAGTTATAAGTTGTGACAAATTTTCGTATATTTTCGCTATAGCATCTAGTTCACTTTCACGATTGCTAATATTCAAAAAACGATTTTTCTTTTAAACACAGAAACAAACATTCGAGTACGGTTAGTCGGACTTGCGATGTAAGTAGAGCATCTACCCCTCAAAATGAGTTACGTACTCTATTTTACTCTATTTTGGGTGTTAATTTCATCCAAGTGAAAACGCATCATAGTGGAAGAAGAAATACACGTGTAGTCAAAGCCGCATGCGTTCAACGTACATATGACTACACATGTATCTCTTCTTTCACTACGATGCGTTCACTTGGTTGAAATTAACAAAAAAATAGAGTAAAATAGACTGCGTATAACTCATTTTGAGGGGTAGACTCTCTGCTAACACAACAAGTGCGAGTAACCGTACTCGAATATTTGTTTCAGTGCATGTTCGTAATTTTGTTTTCAAGTATATCCATGATGCGTTGTTCAGATAAATTTAAAAATACATCCGTCATGTCGACATTATCTAGACCTTTTTGAGAAAATTGACCGATTTCAAAACTTCAATATGCTTTCTTAATGTATGGCCCAATGGCTTTCCAACCATTCGTCAATCGTGGCGAAAAGAATCCTAGATTGAAATTTGGAAATTTCATGTATATATATCAGCCAACTTTTCACCACACTAAGGTGGTTTCGTCACTCGCGTGAATTGCCGTCCGGGCTAGATCCTTAAATTGATTATCTGCAGAAATCACAAATAATAAATTTCCAACCGGCTAAGCCTATGAAGAGACAAAATGCGAATTCCCCTCGTCTGTGCCATCTTGTATTCCATAGTTGAACTCAATTTAGTTACAATGAATTGAATCGAAAAAGAGAAAAAAAACAACAACAGTAACATGGCTACATAGATCTGTTGACCAGTGAGATACGTATAACAATGGAATGAAAGAATGAAGAAAGCGTATATGTGTATGTATGCATCAGCACGCATAGATGTACAGCTCTGTGTGGCCGTGCTATTGTTGTTGTTTTTTCTCTTTTTCATTTCAATGCTACAGAATTAAATTCAGTTTTTCGATCTAATTCGAACTAATGTGAGGTGGCGCTGATCAGCTGCGTTCGCATAAAAAAGTTCCCAATCTCATATACGCCAACCCCGCTTGTAAATTTCTGTTGACATTCACATTTCTGATGGCAATTGGGCTAACAGTATTTTTTAATTGACGCCACATACATATCACAGCGGACGGCAGTTCGCGCGAGTGACGAAACCACCTTAGTGTGTTGAAAAGTCGACTTGCTATATATACACGTAATTTCCAAATTCTAACCTGGAAGGCCTTTAGCCATTGGGCCATAGATCAAGAAAAAATATAAAAGTTTGAAAATCGGTCCACCTGTCTTCAAAATATGGTCCTTTCAAGAAATGGGTCAAAATTCAGTTCTACGGCCATAGATGGAACTAAATGAGGTCGTCGACCCCTGAAACATCGATATTCAAATTCTAGAGCTCAATACCTTTCCAACGACCCCCTAACCGTCAAAATCGATCAATCTTTTCGAAAAATTTCGCATTTTGAAAATTTCATATGATTTTCCTATAAAAGTTATTTGGTATATCCTAGGGGGTAGACACGTGGAATAGGATTAGACTTTTTAGTGTAAAAATTCGAGAAATTAAAGTGGAATAGAGAATTCAGTAGTTGGATTCTCATGGATTCACTAATCCCGTGTATGGAATAGCGAAAATGGGTTAATTCAAAGTTTTTGTATTCGATAGTACAGAATTTGATAAAAGCATTGAACTTGTTTTGAGATAGTAATTTGTTCTTTTTTGAAATATTTTTTAGTTCAAAACTCGATTACAAATTTACAAAACAATAGATACACTTTCTTAAAATTTTATTGATGAAAAAAATAATTTTAATTATCAATAACAAAATGTCATACTCCAGTATCGATAAATAAGTTTTCAACAAAGTGAATAGCGGCGAAATGTGACATCACATTTGACAATGAAATGACGGATTGGTGGAATAGTAGGATTAGTGTTTTTATATTGGAATCATGGTTTAATCGTTTGTGTCTCCCCCCTAGGGTATATCTGTGCGCAATTTTGCGTACTTGTTTTTGATCTTTTTGAAACTTTCTGGGATTAAAGTACACAAAAAACTAAGACTTTTTTGTTCCGGCACTTTTCGATATGGCCATATGTTGGCCATGGCCGGCCTCTAAAAGTCACTTTTCGACTTTTTGCCCTATGGTCACCGAAGCGCCATGACTTGACACCCCCCAGACATATGCATATCATTGGAAAGGTCTTGAAGTGAGCTATCGAGGTCTTGAAGTGAGCGGTCCAAAAATTTCAATTTGGAGTGGCCAAATTGGCCAAAAACCAAAAAGTTACCGTTTGGCCGGATACATAATGGTCATTAGCTCGAAAACTAGCCTTTCATGGTCACTTGAAATATTCACCGATTTTTGGGCCCAAGTCTAAGCTATAAAATGCCGCATAGCTTATATCCCTAAAAATTCTTGTCTTCACGATATGGCCTTTGATAGTGCGAATATGGCCAAAAATGGCCAAAAAG